TTAAGAATCAGACGAGACAGATAAAATTAAATTCATCGCCGATTCGGGAGCGACCGACCATTTTACTAAGTCGGAGAAATTATTTGAAAACCTTGACAGAAGGAAAATTGGAAAATTTAAATGTGCGAATTCAGACTCATCTGCAGATTTGAAAATGAAGGGAGTGAGAGGAATGGTACTTAAAAATAGAAACAAAGAGGTTGAGTTGAACGGAGTAGTTTGTGCTTGGGACTTGGTCAGGAATTTACTCTCTTTACTTAAATTTGCTGACATGGGTCTGCTCATCTATTATACGTGACAGTAGATATAAAACTAGAATAGTGGTTTTTGATCTTCGAGAAAGAGAGGGAAGAGATGACAACATCGGAGGGAGAGCCTCCAGTCGTACGAAGAAAATCAGGAAGGCCGAAAAAGTCAACAGAGTTAGAAGCAAACATGGCAGATACGAACCTAAAGTGTAAAAATCCAGTTATAGATGTCAGTTTTGCGGGTTTGGCTATTGCTGACGACCTCATAAAAAATCTAACTTTTAAAAAATATGATACAGATATGGCAGATAAAGGTACGTCTGCAGAAGATCTCACTCACTTCTTGCTTCTGGCTGAAATAAATGAAGACCCATCTTCATACAAAGAAGCAATAAAGGCAGCAGATTGGGAAGGCTGGATTGGAGCGATACAAGATGAGCTTGATTCAATGGCGAAAAATGATGTATGGATTCTTACAGACAGACCTGTGGGGCTTATAAACGGCAGACGCCCAAATATAATTGACTCCCGCTGGGTAGTTAAGAAAAAGATCGACACTCAAGGGCAGAAAAAATACAAGGCACGGCTGGTAATTCGAGGATTCAAAGACAAAAATAAATACGATTTGACAGAAACTTATGCCCCGGTGTCGAGACTGACCTTGATCAGAACGGTTCTAGCTCTGGTAAATAAATTAAATCTGAACACATGCCAGCTAGACGTAAAAACAGCTTTCTTGAATGGTACTCTTGATGATGAAATATATATGGAGATATCAGAAGGTTTGAACTGCACAGATCAAGAACGTCAGAATAAAGTCTGCAAGCTGCAAAGAGCCTTGAACGGGCTAAAGGTCAGTCCTAAAAAATGGCATGAAAGATTTTCAGAAGCAGCTATTAAAATAAGTTTGAAGTCACATATTTTAGAATCATGCCTGTTTACTTAGCACGAGGCAGACAAAATTCTAATTTTAGTTATATATGTTGATGATATGATTATTGCAAGTAATGATCCAAATCGGTTAAAGTTTGCTAAAGAAAGTCAGCTAAGCGAATTTGAGATGACGGATCTCGGTGAAGTAGAAGCTTTTCTAGGTATCGAAGTCAGAAGAGACAGGGAGAGGCAGGTGCTAACCTTGACTCAGACTGATTATATAAATAGAATTTTGGCTAAATTTGGATTTAAAAATCCAAAACCTGTAAAAACTCTCATGGTCACTGGACATGTGTTGAAACAACAAAGGAAACAAAGAGAACAATCTGAAAGGCTGGATGATTTAAAGGAGACAAAATTGACAGAAAATGTTCTCTACCGAGAGGCTGTGGGCTGTCTATTATACGTGTCTAACACTGTACGTCCAGACATAAGCTATGCTGTAAATTTACTCAGTCGACATCAGCTAAATCCAACTGATGAAGATTGGAACATGGTAAAAAGAGTGATCCGGTACTTGTCAGGCACTAAATCTTTTGGGCTAAAGTTCTTAGGAAGGCAGGACAACTTAGAAGCCTTTTCGGATGCCAGTTTTGGTGACTGCAAAGGCTCTCTGACTACGAGTGGGTATGTCTTTAAACTCTTTGGAGACGCTGCAGCCTAGAGAACTCACAAGCAGACCTACGTAGCATTGTCAACATATCAGGCCAAATGCGTGGCACTAAGTGAAGCATGTAGATAATTGATGGCAGTAGACAATGGTCTCAAAATCATCCTTAACAAAACCTTTTGTCCAGATGAGCTATGGTATGATAATAAGGCAGCGAAATGAAATTTAAAAATAAGTGAAAGCGGGCGGGAAATTGAGGCATATGACAGAAATTAACAAAAACTATGTCAAAGAATGTATGACTTATGGCAGACTAAATTTAAAGTAGTTGAGTACCAAAGAACAGACGGCAGACATTTTTACGATTGATTTTGCACGAGTTCTTTTTCTTGGCGTTTTAGTCCACGAGAAATATTTTATTTCGTTCCAACAACCCGCGGGTACAAACTCCAAACGCCGCAGCGCCTCGAAGCCAAACACCCATGAAAAGCTTGCTTTCATCCGCCACCCGAAGAGTACGTGCCCCATAGACTGACTGCCTCAGCCTAAGGGTCATATATGTCTTTATTATTGTTAATACCATCATCATTATTGTCTTTATTTACATAACCATCAGCACCATCACAATCGTTGTAATCACGATTATCAACATGATTAGTTTTATCGTCATAATTATCACTAAATCTATAACTATCTATGACATTATAAATGGTAAACTTAGTCTTATAAGTCTTTTGATTTGTAATAATAGCAGTTTTATCACGATAACTATCTCTATTGTAAATATATTTCAAAGCATTATTATGTTTATCGTCAACATTATTATAATTTTTATTATTTATATCACCATTTATATTATCTAATTCATCTTTATCATTATCATCATCATCATCATCCTCATCATCATCATCCTCATCATCATCANTTATCTCAGTACGTTAATCACCTCACAAGCTTTACAAAGTGAATTTGAAATGCCGGATCTCGGCAAAGTAGAGTCTTTTCTGGGTATTAAAGTTAGAAGAGAAAGAGAGAGACAGGTTTTAACTCTGACCCAGATAAGTTATATAGACAAAATTCTGACTAAATTTGGGCTCGAAAACTCAAAACCCGTAAGAACTCCTATATTCACTGGCCATGTGCTAGAGCAAAAAAGAAAACAGAGAGAACAATCTGAAAGGCAGAGTAACATACAATAGACAAAATGGACACAAAATGTTCCTTACCAGGATACTGTCGGCAGTTTGTTATATATAGCTAATACTGTACATCCTGACATTAGCTATGCAGTTTATGTACTTAGTCAACATCAAATAAATACGTGGCACTGAATTAATTATGTAGAGAATTGATGGCAGTGGACAACTCTCTTAAAATAATCCTAAACAAAATTTATGGTCCGGCTGACCTATGGTGTGACAACAAGGCAGCGGAACTGAATTCAAAAATAAGTGGAAGTAAGAAATTAAGATATATGACAGAAATTTATGATCATTATATCAAGAAATGTGTTACTTGTGACCGAGTAAATAAAACTAAAAGACGAACGGCAGACATTTTGATAAAACCCTTGCCTATCGAGCTCCACGAAAAATTTAGAAACCATATTCTTAATAAAGTCTGTAACCAAAATAAATGATTAATATGATACATTTTGTTTCAGACAAGAAGTAAGGTGCTCATCGGATGACCATGATCTCTGGCCTGTTCGACCCTTGTTACCAGCGCCACGAAAATCGATAATAAAATATTACTACTGTGAGGCTCAAAATTATATTTATTTCTGTATTCTTATAACTCTTTAGCTATCTTATGTCTGGAGGAAGTGTTGAAGTGCACGACTATATTGATGGGCTGTAGGTATGCGCGTCTGCTCGAGCGTATGTATGTTTGTGTTAGAGGAGAGGCACGTACAGCGACAGTCAGGTGTGCGTCCAGTTCTGATTTGACCGTAGTCAAGTGCACACGTAACATTTAGCTCTCCTTTGCATTTTATAAGTCTGTACATTTAGAAAGTCAGTTATAGTCGGTCGTCAGTTAGTCTATGTAAAGTCAGTTAAATAAATCAAGTTATAAATTAAAATCTGTTTGGTTGTCTCCTTGTTTCCTCACCCAAAACCCTTCACCATTAATATTATTGAGTAAAACGATGGAAGGTCTGGAGAAGAGGCGTGCAGAGATGTCTGGGCACCGTTATGACGTGCTATGCTACATAAATTAATGTACCTCTCACAGTAATAATTATTTCTTCATTAACTAAAAACATTAATTTATAGAAAATTTAATGTAGGATATGATGGTTGTATTAAACATTCTTTAAATTTTAGGGACCATAGTTTGAAATTGATTTAAACGTTTAAATTGGTGATAACAATATGAAATTGTTTGTTAATTGAGTTGCTAAAAATTTTTTCCTAAGACTTACTTTATCATCTTTCAAATGAAAAAAATTCACTCTAGTTTGAAAAGAACTAAATTGATGAGCGTTTAAAAATGAGGCTCCAAGGCAAAAAAATGAAACTTTCAAATTTTTAACTCCCTTTGCTTAAAAAAAAAAAAAAGAAGAAAAATTGAGTAAGTACTTTTTTAACGTAGAACCCATAAAAAAATTTTCAGGCAAAGAAAAATGTGATGGTCAGAAAGGTATTTGGTTTGTCAAAGATTCACCCACATACAAGACACCACTCTTTACTACGGGCTAATCAGAGAGATGGAAGCTGTGTGTAACCCTTAGCACTTCGTGTAGAGCCCTGGCTGTCTACGTACGGTTGCTCGCGTGGAAAGAGATTGAGGTTTTGTGTTGGATTGAACGTTTGCTGGTATGGGCCTAGTTTATCTATTTTTGTAGTAAAAAATAACGGTTATTGTGAAATAGTACGTTGTTATACTCTTGAATCACTAAAGTAAGAATTTAAACTATTGACATTTATTGACTTTTTGTGTTATAGTAAACCTTAATGGTTTAAATATTTAACTCAAACGTTAAACAATAATTTATAGTCCATTCAAAAGAAGATCATATTGAAATGCAAGCTTGCTAGTTTGGATTTCAATATTATTTGATGATAAAGAAGCAAGTGAGAGGAGTCTGTAGATATGTATAAAAGAAGATAAGATAATGTATAACTGACAGTTGTTTCTTTTTAGCAGAAATATCATAATTTCTTATTTATATAGGATAAACGATATTTATAAGTTGATGAGCGTACCTTAAATAAGTCTGTCACATTTTCTGTAAAAAGAGAACTACTAAGGCCTTGTTCAACATTATTATTTATCGCTATTGCTTCTTCTAATGAATTGACGTTAAACACATAAACGATAGGTGCAAATGTCTCTCTTTGAACTACTTCTGCATCTGGCTCTAATCCAGACACTATGGTTGGCTGTACATAGAATCCCTTTCTATTAATTCTTTTTCCCCCAAATTCAATATTTCCACCAATTTTAACAATTTCCTTTATAGTATCCTGCAAATTAATAAAAATCATGAGAAAAACAATGTGATTTTTAAATCTATTTTTTTATTTAAAAATTATCTGAAATTCGTGCAAGTCTTTGTTACTTGTGGAATCACTTGAAAGTAATATTTAGAATTAGACTTCTTAGTTCGTTTTTGTTTAACAGTTAAATCAAATAATAATTACGTTTTTATAACTAAAATTTTACAATATAGAATAAAATAATGTATATCTATGGTTAAACTTAATTTGCTTTGAAAAACGTATTTATCTTTATGTATTTTTTTCTTTTTGTCATAATACAGGTAGCAATATTTTAGCCTGTAGGGTTACGAACTATCTAGTTTAAAAGACCTCATGAGCTTTATCTTCTAAAAATCCACTCTAAGTCTTTTTCTAAAAAGTAATATATCAAATAAGTAGAAAAAAATTATGAAAATTATTGACTATATTGTCTACGTATGCAACATTATAGACTGACAGTGAATGATTTTTTAACTTAAAGAATTTTCGTTTACTTTTTCTCTACAAATATAACTTGATAGTTGATATCTACAATATTCTTTAAAGAAACTTAAGTAAGCATTAAACAAATCTTAGAAAAGTCCCTGATAATACAAATAATCGTAGTAGGAGTAACAATAAAAGAAGAAAATGTTATGAATAAAATACACGTGATATCGGGAAATGTAACTACTATTACCAGTGGAGAGATAAAAACTCTTATTATTTGTGGTCAGGTCTGCAGAGACTGTATAATTGTATGTAATAGCCAGATATTTAACTTTAATGTCAAATAATTTTAAATACCTATTGTTACACTTATACAACGAAAATGACGTTTTATTAAAATCAAGTAGTGCTACATACAAACGGTATGATTTATATTTTATAAGGTAGCTGTTTAACACATACACGTGCAAGCGATAAACGTGAGCTGGCTACGGCATCAGTTGTGAGCTAGAGTCAATGCTCTTATGAAGGCGTACGTGTATATATACATACAACATTTGTGTATAGTAAAATACGTATGAACAACACTGAACGGAAATCTTACGTTCTGCAACTACCTCAGGCAAGCAGTAAACAAGTTGTCAGGAAGGAGAGCAACTTTAAACCGAATCATGCCAAACGTCAGAGATCCAAAATCCGTAAAATACGTACATCTTATGTTTACTTCCCTGGTATTTTATACTGTATGTGGCGGAGATATGAGGGGATGAAATAAACGTCAAAAGAAAGAGAATACAAATTTTTCACGGTCAAAGCATATTCTACAATAATCTCCTTGCATACGAATAGTGACTCAAACATCATACAGAGCAGAAAAAAAAAGGAGAAAGAAGAACAGAAAAGTGCGTCATCAAAAGGTCTGTCGTTACTACTGTAATAATCCTAGGAGAGCTGCTTCCAACATTTTTCCTCAGCTTCGTCGAGAGTCCTATCCTGTCATACAATGCTGTCCTTGTATCAAAATTCTATCTGTGTCCCTATGACGAGCTGTTACTATCTTGCTGTCACAGATTTTCTATGGTGTTGGTATTGGCTTGTTGATTACATTAATAATTTTTTCTGGTTCTGAGTCATTTGCTGTAAAACAAACGTCTAAGGATTTTTCTGGCTTCCATTAGCTAGTAATGCTTCCTCCGGCGTCAAGTGAAATTGATGCACTTTACGAGATTCACCTCTGATGAAGATCTCAAATGGGCACTCAATCAATTTCACTGTGGACATACTTGTGAGTTTTTCCGAAGGCAAGCTGATATCCTTGCTAGCCCTATGAGCCGTTAATAGTCCCATCGCCTTTATGCTGTCTTTTTTCTTGTTACTTCTTTTCCCTCCCTTTTCGATGGTCAGCATAGGAGAAGATATTTCTAGCGCAGAGACAGTAGTTAGCAAGATGTAACGGGTTGCGGTGAGTAGCAGTGATCTCTGTCCTTATATTTTCTCAAAGATTGTAGTCTTCTTCCCAGTTTCGTCATTATTAACGATTTTGCCTATACAACTACCATCGGGTTGATATCACTGCTTCTGAGGTCACAACTTTCGGTGGTAAGCAAGTGTCTGTGAGCTCTCTAGAGCAATGGCAATTCTTCTCAGGCTGTCCTTGTTGTCCCTCGTATGTCAATTAAGTTTTTTGTCTTGACCTCTGTCTTCGTCGCTGATGTCCTTTCTGTGGATACCAAGGGTTGAGCTCATAGGGACTTCAGGGTAAAAGGAAGTCGTGTTATCGTAACTATTAGCTTCAGAAACGCACTGCTGGAGTAAGTGGCCTTACATAACAGCCTTATCTCCTGTGATACTCAGTTTGTCGCAAATGTATTCCAACGTTACTCAGAAAAATACGCTGAATTGCAAGATATAAGAGTTGATGTATTCTTAATGTTCTTATTAATTTGTCCATTTCTTTAATACACTTAGCCAATTGAGAACAAAGGTACTATTACATCTCAGTGTCAACAATCTGCAAAATAGAGTTAATGAAGTCGTCCAAGTGTACAGGTATGTCTGTGGTTAGAGACAGTATCTGAGTAGACGATCTTGCAGAGTGTTCTCATCTCCCTTGCCACTAAACTTTATAATTTGTTACTGTCATAGCTGCTTCAAAACCGTAGTCTCTTGCAAATTGGCCAATACAGTCCTACCTATTCGAGATCCTTGGACCACGCGATATATAGCTGGAGCATTTGCATCCATCTTCGCTTCTGCCACACTCCTATAAATCTAAGTAAGGAGACTTAATAGGACTAGCTAATTTAAAATGGTTGCATGGCTCACGTATGTCGAGATGGAGACTGAGAGATCCACGATTTCTCAGCTAGATCAACTCGGCTTACGTACGTCAACTTCACTTTACCTTGGGTGGGGGTTGTTCGCAACAAGGCCGGAGCCTTGTCAAATCATTAGTGAAATCCTTTACTTTAAACATCTTAGAAATGTAAATTACTCTTATTAGGAAAAATGTGACAACAAAAAGCACCTTAAGTAGTTGTTTTGTTGTCTCCACTAAAAATCTCGTGACTACTACGTTGACTCGTCAGTGCATGCGGCACCTTCGAGTTGTGCGGAGATTTAGATGTTGGACCATAGATGCCCTGCTGCTCGTTAGTGTAGAAATTATCGTGCAGATACTTTTCCCTTGACCTTCTGAGGCTCTACCTTGAGAGATTACGACCCAGTGCTAAACATCCCAAACAGCCCGTAAAGCGAATGACTCGGTCATGTAATGATTCGGTCCCCTATCACTCTTTCCCTCCTAACCTTAAGGAATAAGGACATGTATTGTGTTTGTACTATAAAGGTTGTTTCGTTCGACGACATACTGTCGGTCGGGCCCCCCTCCTGATCGTCTCGGCACTTCGTTATGCCGCTGCCGCTGGCATCGACGGCCTGTGCCGGAACCAGTTCAGTTCGTTTCCTGATACACAGGTTCACGCATCAGCTGGCCAGCTACACGCCTCTGTCAGCCAAGCCACACGGTCAGCAGCCAGCAAGCCGCTTGAGACAGCTAGTCCACCAATAATATCAGCAGAGCATAGCACGCAGAAAAGTGCGCTATTCATTGTCACTGGGTCCGCTTCCCTTGTATTCAATAAATGAAGAGTTTCTCAAACAAAGCTGATTTTGTAATACTTGTTATACCTGTGCCTTAGCTGTTTATCCATATTCTGATTTAGTGAGAGCAGTGCATGAAAGATGGGCTTGCGAAGATCTCTACCATCAATTACATCTGCAGGTACCATGCCTCCCCCTTATTTCTAGAGGAGTAGACTCTTTTTTTACGTTGGGTAAAGAAGTAAAAACTTAGCCATTCGCAACAACTGTTTTTTTAAAGTAGAAAACACTATAACTATTTGTTTTGTTCGTTGTGATGCGTATTTTGCCAATAGAAAATTGCGTAAAGGTGTGCCACTAGCTGTGAAGCAGCTTGAACCATGTAATTGTTTTCATTGATTCCACCTTCTGTGCTTTTGTCCTCTCTTTATAGCTTTCGTTTGATTTTGAGCTTGTTTATTACTATATTTTTCCTTAGGACTTTTCCACAGTATGTCTTGAAGGTCGGCATATAATCTCGTCTTTCAGGAGCTTGTGGTCTTTATTAGTTCTGTAACCTCTTCTACTTCATTCCCTTTCAAGCTCTTGCCTTCCATTATTGTAGAGGCTAAAGTCATTCAAGACTGTGTTTTGGGATTTCTTGCGCTTTGCCATACTTGCAGATTGGGTTATCTATTAAGCCAAGCTTCCATAGCTTCGAAGCAAAGTATACACTATTATGAAAAAAACTGTGATATGCAGTAGTCTGGTTTGAGCCATGTTATCTGTTTTTTTCTTGACCGTATTGATGAATACTTGTTATCTACCCTTTTTCTGCTTGCGACCACCTGTTCTCCCACTTATAATTTACCCATTTTTCTGGTGCTTGATTTCTACTGTATCACTACGTTTATTGTATACTTTTATTCAGCTTGGAAGGTTGTTTTTTTCTTACTTTGTACAGGTATAGTTGGTATGTGGCAACTAGGTCTACAGGTTGTTCTCCAAAGAGCACTTGGAGTGTTGCGGTTGACATTTTTCTATGAGCCTTTTTCATGGATACCAGAGCTATTCTCTACATTTTCTCCAACTTTTGTTTGGTTTTCACGTGGAGGAGGTCACCCCATGCTCTAACAGCATAAAGAATATTACGATGGAGACCGTCTTATAGAAGGCCCAGGTAGTGCTGTTATTTAAGCCACAGTCTGCCGTACTCAGGCTTTCTCTATTTCTAAACATTTTTGTTGCTTTTGTTTATACTACACTCACGTATCCAGCTATCTTTGTTCCTTTCCCTGTGTTAGCGCCAAGAAAACTCTTTTCTCTAGAGTTTTTGACGTTTTTATTCTCTAATTTAATTATTAGTTGTCTTTTTCCTCCCTTGCCTGTTTAAAGGATTCTACATTAAGTCAAAACTCAAGAACTTCTGTTATGAAAAACTAAAACATAAACGAAAATGTTAAAGGATGCAAGCC